AAAAAAAAAAAAAAAAAATTTAATGTCTACTTTCCAGGTGGGAAAATTGGACCATAGTGAGAATCCACAACATTTCCATGACCATGTAAAAACATTAAAAGAAGACCTAATAAACATATTCCTGGTCCTTGAGCCTCACTCCAAACAATGGACATTACTGAGTATCTTCTTACCCCTTTTTTCTGGCCTCCCAAGAGTACTGACAAGAAACCACATCCTGGGATAAGATCAGAAATACATCTGCTAAGAAGCTATAGTCTATGGGCAGCTCCATTCCTACCCACATCTCCAAACAGAAATCCCTGTGAGTCAAAGTAGATGATGATGTGTGTAATAGTCTACCAGCAGCGCAGTTAATCAGAAAACTCTCAGGAGAGAAGTACAAGAGAGTTTTCAGTACCAATTAGAAATACTGATCAGAACCAGGAAACACAGCTCCCTTAATCTGGCAGAGTCAGGACAAGACTCATAACAGAGGCTAAGTCCTGAGTAGGCTATCTCTCAGCCACACACCCCTTCTCTCTTCTTATAAACAGTTTGTCAGGTCCACAGAAATGATGGGATCATGTCTACATCAAGGGAGTCATATGAGTCACTTTTCCACTTCCCATCTCTACTCAGGAATCCTCTCCCATTCTATGACCTTCTTAATGATTCATCCCATTGAGGAATAGTTTTATAATTGTGTGTATTTTTCTTGATGTTTATTTATTCTTGAGAGAGAGAGACAGTGGGAGCAGGCGGGGGGGGGGGGGGGGGGGGGGGGGGGGGGAGACATAGAATCTGAAGCAGGCTCCAGGCTCTGAGCTCTCAGCACAAAAGCTGGATGTGGGGCTCAAACCCACAAACCGTGAGATCGTGACCTGAGCTGAAGTCAGACACTTAACTGACTGAGCCACCCCGGTGCCCCTATAATTGCATGTATTAACTAATGGAATCCCGCAGCAAGTTCCCTGGAACATGTACTGCCAAATCTCATACTTGGCAGAGACAGACGCCAATCACTTAGCAAAGCATTCTTCCCTCTCATAGTGTAGGATTGTCACTGAGACATGGCCTCCTACCAAGGGACTCTATTTCTCAGACCCCTTGCAAGTCAGATATGGTTCTAAAACTGGGTTCTGGACCATGGAATGTGAGAGAAAGTGACTTGCATCCCCTCCAGGCCTGACACACAGAAACATTTCAGGTGTCTCCCACTTCCATGTCTTTTTCCTTTTCTACTCACTGGAATGGAAATGAGTCCCAAGGCGACCTTGCAAGTCACATGTTACAAATGGCAGGGTCCCTGGAATGACTATGTAGAGGGTCACCCTGCCCACTTGCTCCCTATCCGTTATTAGAGCAGAAAAAAAGTCTATTGTGTTTGAGCCACATACATTTTTAGGTCGATGTGATATAGTAGTTAATCTAAGTAATACATATACATTTCCTGGGTACTAGTTGTTAGTTACAGTGAGAGATTTATAAGATATGTGATTGACTATGCCAAGACAGGATAATAAATTCACTTCTATAGAAGGTAAAGCTAAGTGATTAGACCTGTCAGAATTTGAGGGATTAATGTGGACTGGAGCAGAATCTTTTTCCTTGGCCATTTGGGTAGATGACCAATTCAGGATCTTAATTTATTAGATTTTAATTTATTAAAAAGCATGACAATATACCACAAACTATTGATTTTACCTTAATTTCATAGCCAAAGGAAGAAAGGCAAAAATATTAATTATAACCCCACTCTGCTCAGGTTGTTCCAGAAATAAGTCCTTCTTTATGCTTAGGAGACAGCACCAATTAACTCTCATAAAGTGCTCTCATGGGTGGAAATGGCAAAACAAGATGTTCAGAAAAATACAAACTCTAGGACCCACTGCTCTGTGACATTTTGGTTTCTATTGTTTTGGTTCCTCCATCTTAGGCTTAGAGTTTGACAAATTAGAAACTGACTACAGGCATCTAAGAATTGTTCTTTATTTAAAAACACATCCATGAAAAGCCAAGGAGCTATAGAGGCAAGGCTGCACCAATGTCTTCCAAGCCGAGGTGGAAGTGTCTCTGGATTTTCCAGCAATTCCCAGGGGTGTCATAATGACTCAACAGTCTGTTGCAATCAGATGTGGAAAGGGGAGGAGTGATGGCTGGAATGCAAAGCAGTGTGCACAACCCAGACCCATCCCAGCTTTGCCAAACCCAAGTGCCCCCATGGGAGTGTCTTGCAACATGTTCTGTTGAGAAATGAGGTTGCCAACCAAGGGGTTATTGCAATAAAAACTACTTGTGATGAACAAGAGTTGTAATTTTAAATATATTTTTTTTAATGTTTGTCTTCCTTACTAGACAATCAACTCTGTGAGGGCAGAGACTACGTCACCACTGTACCCCAGCCCCTGACACACAGTAGGTACTCAATAAATATATGTTGTAAGGATGGATGGATGGAGGGATGGATGGATGGAAGGATGAAGGATGGAGCCTACCCAGCTCAAGTGTGAGTAGAAACATTCTCTGCTACAGGGAGAGGGAATGAGAAAATAAAACACGTAGACACACATAATTTTTAGTGTTTGAAAAGTGGGATTGAATTAGGACTAACAAATCTTCTAGATAATTGTAGTTCTTTCAATGCTCAAGCTACATTTTTCTATCACTTTGAAACCCAAAAGTAAATACTTTCCCAGTGTTTGCTTTGCTGGTCAGAAGTGCTTTAATAAAAAAGTAGTCTCTAAGTTGCCATGGCGTCACTGGAGAAAGGATGGCACTTCTAGGCCCCAGAAGAAACTGAAGGTGGCAGGACCCAAACAGGCACCATTGCTCCAAATGGACCAGCCTTACAGCCTCTCACTCCACCACTGCTCATTTCTCCCAGCTTGAAAGTGGACGACACGTTGACAAACTGGGTGGTAAGTGGGAGGAACTCTGGTCAATGAGAAGCCTGTAATTGGACACTACAAGGTAATAGTATTTCACTGGCCACAGTGTGACTGGACTTCACTCTCTGTTCAGACATTAGGGAGAACTGTATGGGTGGGCAAAGTAAAAATATTTCTCCTTTGGTCATATTATTCAAAGAATAAGCTGACTATAGCCCAGCAGCATACTCCATACTCCATACACTGTCCATACTCCAGGACTCAGTGTGTGACTATCCCAAGGCAAACACCTGCCCATGCAGCTTGCCCTTCCATCCAGTCTACCCTTTGGGGTCTAGGCCCTTGACCAGTCTCACACCCAGTGCTATTTGCCTCACTGCCCAGCATCAGGAAGCAAGTAGTGTCACACTGGTGCGATAAGACATTTATCTGGCCAAGGTCTCAGGGATGGGATCAGGTTCAGTTGACCTGAGCATACCCATTCAACATGCTCAAGTGTCTCCATCCCACCCCAACCACACGAGATGGCTCCTGAGGTCTGTATCCCAAGAACCTCAGCTGAGAAATCTCTATGGCAGATTCACTGTTGCTCAAGAGCCTGTGTATTATAGCAGCCTGGCGGCAGGTTGTCCCTGATGTTCTCCAGGTTCTTCACATCAGCCAGAATCCCGTCGATGCTCGTCTCCAGCAAACGAAGGTGGCGCTGCTGCCGACGTGCTCGATCTTCCAGCTCTGACACCAAGGGCCGCAGCTGGCTGTTGATCTGAGTCTTGGCTCGGAAGAGTTTCTGCTCCAGTAAGATCAGTCCCTCTTCATCCACACTGCCAGGCTGGTCTATTTCAGGGAATGAGAAAGGAGTTAATATAGAAGACCTGTGATTAGATCTCCTTGAACACACAAGGGCCTTCTACACCCTTAACTAAAACCTGTTTCCACCTGCCCAGAGAAAATGGTATGCCATGCCTTTAAAAGGCTTATTTCACATTGGGAATAATATAGAAAATATTCTGAGAGCTCTAGCCTAGTTACTAGTTATGAACAGCCCAGTTCAAGCCTCTGAACTCTATAGTTAAGCAATATGAAGCTTGGATTTCTTTCACTTTAGGGCCAAGTTCACGCTCTGAAAAGACGAAGGCTGAAGGCCATAGGAGACTGAGTACTGTCCAAGGTGTCTGCCCAACACGGCTCACCCTAGGATCAGAATCAACTCCAAATTATGTTTACTGAACTAACCTTGGGAAATATCTTGCTGTTTTCCATTAGAAGACCTTTAGAAACTGGCTGGGTTTGGGGTTTAAAGAGGCCAAGGTATGCTTTGACATTTCGGGGATAGATTCCAGCTGTTAGGAGGTGATGTAAGCTATCATTCTAGCCTGAAACAGTGGGAATCTGGCTAGTTATTCGTTTATTTCCAATATTAAATGTAGTCATATTTGTTGAGGTATGTTTCACCCATAAATAATCTAAAACTAATGTCAGCAGGAAGGGCACCTGGCCAAACCTATTTAATGTGGAAAGGGTTTGAGTGGCCTTTGGTCAATTCAAACTCAAGGTCAGGTTGCCTCACATATCTGAGCCGTGGTGTGAGCATTTGACTGCCTGAGTTTATTACACCTAGAGATTAAGCTGTTACTGTTCCCGGACTCCAGAGAGTAAACAGGAGAAACAACACCCTAACAAAAATGTATATCTGGTAGATCAGACCTTCACCTCAGAGCAGGGGAGAATTCCAGAATTCCGGGTTCTATGACATGCTGGGAAAGTTAAATAAGCTTGGGAACAAAATAACCATGTCCTTGGAGAGGCAGGACGATCTGCTCAAAAAGGGCAGGAGCCTTGGAATCAAAGAGTCCTCAGTTCAAATCCCACCTCCACAGTTTACTATGTGATCTGTGGGACTTATCAACCTCTCTGAGCCTCAGTTTATTCCTCTGTGAAATAAAATAATAAAAATAATAAAACCTGCCTCACAGGACCTCAAAAAGGCTTAAATGACCAGAGAACACCTGGCATGGTGCCTGGCACCTGGTAAAACGCTCTCATTTTCTCTTGAAGGGCCCTGTTTGTTGCATTACCTTTTTCAGGACACTAAACAAAGCTGCTTGTATCTCCACTGGGGAACTGGGTTTTGTGTTTTTTTCACCCTCAGAGGGTATTTACTCTTTGGAGCTAATGGGACTACAAAGCAGACTCATTAGTATAACAACACAGGCAACATTGATCTGCCAGGGTGAGGATGGTACTCCACAGAAAAATCAGATTTTAGAGTTGTCCTACCGAATTGAAAAGGTAAAACCAAACCTTTCCCTGAATGTGGCTGGAATCCATGATCAAATCCCTCGTCCCCTATCTGCTGCAGCCCCTGACAAATCAGGCCAAATGAGGGTTCGATATCAGGGGGAGGGATACTGTGGGCAAATCTGAATTGTTGCCAAACTGTGCCATTAAATCTATTTTATCCGAAAATTTTGCAGTATCTCTTGTCCCTACTATCTTTACATTTCTTCCGGGCTATCAATCAGGCAGGTCAAGTTCCCGCTTATATCAAGGTATAACTGTGGGTTGGGAGGGACAAACAGTAGAATCAGCAAGTGACTCTTGACTTCACAGTCTGGGAGAATCTCCCCCACTCACTACTACTACCACTATTGTATCAGAGTTCAGGCTTGGCCACCTCCCTCCTCAACTCCTTCCACCATTTCCAAAATGGTCTCACTCTGCCTTTTGTCTAACCCACCTCCAAGCTCTCCTCCACTCACTCCTGCACTCCACTCAGTGATCTTTCTGAAATATACAGTGATGATGTTATTACTCTGCTTTAAATTGTCCACTAGCTGCTCAGGATGAAGGCCAGAACCCTTAGCAGGACTGTCAAACTGTCCAGTCTTCTCTTTAGCTGTGAAGGTTGAATATACTGCCTCCACAATTTACTATGTGATCTGAGGGACATGATTAACCTCTCTGAGCCTCAATACACCTTCTCTAAAGACACCCAGATCTTTGACCTACAGATTTTCACCTCCAAGGGCAATAGGTACTCAATGACCCATCTTACAGACGTTAAAATAGAGTCCAGAAGATGTAAAGTCATGTAAAGCCCAAAGTCTCTGGGTGTGGAAACAAAGCAAATACCCTTTAAGGGTATCAGACTTCCATTCATCAGGGCTAGGTCTAGCTAATTTTCTGGGCAAAGCCCTGAAGCATGGGGCTGGAAGATTGTGGATACTCCACATACCCATTAGATCTAAGATGCTGTCCAACGTGTTGAGGGTGTCTTGGATCGTAGCTCCAGCATTCTTGGCTCTGTTATCAACTCTTTGGGCTTCTGTAATTACCTGGAGAAAAAGAAATACAAACCAGTATTGAAAGGGTGTCTCTCACATTAGCAAGTTTAAAGGGATCTCCCATGGAAAACGATGGAAACTGACCATCTGTACTGTGTCCATATCCAGGTCAAATTCTTGCTCCTTCCTTGCCAGCTCTCCTTCCACTTCCCTCATCTCGCTCTTCAGAATGGCTAGTCCCTTCTCCATGGCCAAGGCTCCATCTGCTGTCACGTTGGCTTCCAAGTTCAGACTCCCTATCTCCTGGGAGAAGAAAGGGAGCCAGGGACGGGAGGAGATATAGGGGTGAGGCACAAAAACATCCCAGAAACAAATACGGAAAAAACACAGCTGCAGCCAGGCCCTGATGGAGTGAGTTGGATGAACAACGGGACAGTCAGACTTGCAGACACACCCTTTCCCAAGCTCTGCTTGAAACAAGTTACTTTGAGGGTCTGGCTGTAGGTCCTAGGAGGGTCAGAAGTGAAACACTGGTTCCCTGTCAAGTCAATGTTCACCAAAAAGTGAACGCAATAAAAAACTATTTGGGAAAACTCAGAGGGTGAGAAATTCACATCATTTCCTGTCATAGTTCTTTGCTGCCACAGACTTTTGAGTGATTTTACTAGGATCCCTGAGACAGTTGAGTTTGAGGTGCAGAGAATGAATGGGCTACAGCTGTGCTTTTGTTTCTATTAGAACAAAGTTCATCAGTACCTTTATCAATAAGCTGTTAAGCATCAAATTGCAGTTATCTGTGTGCTAGAAGCTATACAAAGAGAGGCACATGAAACTGGTCTCTCCCCTCAAGGGACTTACAATTAGAAATTATTCTTGCAAATTACCAAGTGGTCAAATAGTCCAGATACTAAAAGTTCCCTTTGGGCTTTCTAGAGCTGCAGAAGCTTTTTAGAAGTCATGCTTAAATGAGACATAAGAAGCTCTCTTCCAGCCGAGAAAGCAAAGCTCCTACGATAGCATTTAACATGTGGGTTGTGGTGTAACTAGTCTGTCTCTCCCCATTGCACCAAGTGCTCCTTGAAGAGAAGGACTGGCTCTTTCTCATCTCCATATCCCCAGCACCAAGCACAGTGCTGGTACATTGTGGGAGGGGGGAAAAAAGGATATGTGGTGCTTAGACATAGAAAATAGAGATAAGGGATGCAGAACTCCAGAATTTCATAATCTTGAATCAAACATCGATGATAGTTGTTGAACTGTCATCCAGTGGGGTTGAACTGTGTCCTCCAAAAAGATATGTTGGTGTCCTGACCCCCAGTATCTCAGAATGTGACCTGATTTGGAAATAGGGTTGTTGCAGATTCAATGACTTAAGATTGATTTCTGACTTCTAGCCTCCAGAATGGTGAGAGAATAAATTTCAGTTATTTTAAGCCACCTAGTCTGTGGTACTTCATATAGCAGCTCTAGGAAGCTAATACAATAGTTGATAAAAGTATATATACATATATCTTGGATGGCTCTGCTCATGGTATTCTCCAAAATGGGAGCTGCAAATGAAGCCTGCAGCTTTCAGAGACAGCCTTGTGAATCAATCAACAAAAAGAGGCACCCGTGGGGAGACAGGTTCTACTTACATAAACGGGTTAGAAGAAAGCTTAGGGCGGAAAGCCACTGCCACGTGGCGAAAACGCCCGAGGTTAGCCAGCGAGGTATTGTAATGGGATCACAAGTAACTTGTTATATCACCTGCAGGAAATTACCTTCCAACTGATGCCAATATACTGATGTATCTCGATCACAAACACCACTTACCCCCCCCCCCCCCCCCCACCCTTTGCTTCCTACACCCACAAGTTAATGATTACTGTTTGATTGTTTTTCCTCATTCACACGTGTAAGGTGTTGTTTTCTTCACGTTCACCACGTGGGTAGTATCTCGGGAGCTCCATAAATACGGAGACAGAAGCCCTGTGCGGGTCTCTTGCCTCCTCCCAGGCGTTAGTTTCTCTCATGTTCAATTCTGCCTTTGTTCTCTTGCAGCTAGGGAGTACTCCAGAGTCTTAGTCTGTGATAGGTACCTGTGTGGATCTGGGGCTGCTATAGGCCCCAACGGGGCTTTAAGTTGTAGGGATCAAAAGTGAGCCTGCTGCGCGCTCTCGCTCTATCTCTCTCTGGCTTCCTACGCCGCTCTTGCGTTTGGGACTTCTAATGCCAGCCTACACTTCGACTTCAGTTTACCTGTTCTATCTTGTCCGTGATCTCCAGGGCCTCCCTGGCTGCGGTCTTTGCCCTCTGGGCATCGGCAGCAGCACCGCCCAGGGCTGCTTCTGCCTGTTTAGTCTTGTCACTAGCGCTTGCAACCTTCTGGCTGATATACGAGAGTCTCTTCATGGCCTCTTCGGCTTCTGCTTTTCTGTCTTCAACCTGCAAGTCAAACTCTGAAAGGCAAGAAAATATTGCCGTGAAGATAAAAAGTGACTTCTAGGGGCACCTGGGTGGCTCAGTGGGTTGAGCGTCCGACCTCGGCTCAGGTCATGGTCTCACAGTTCGTGAGTTTTAGCCCCGAGGCAGGCTCTGGGCTGACAGCTCAGATTCTGTGTCTACCTCTCTCTCTATCCCTCCCCTGCTTGCACTCTAAGAACTCAAAACCTCAAAAAGTGTTTTTAATGGCTCATAAAGCTTACAAATGAAGGTGAATGGGGCTAAAGTTTTCATGAAAAATTCTAGGAAGAGTGTTATTACTGCCTGGGGGCAAAAGCAGGGGAAGTTGTGGCTCCTTATCTAGCAGAAAGTATCTTAAAGGACCCATTGAAAGAGCCATAATCAAGTTCTTAGAAAAGCTGACAATCAGCCTGTACTTGGTCCCCACCACTGCAAAAGTATTAAGACCCTAAAGTAGGTAAAAAACAGGTAGAATCTTTAACATTTATTTTTGAGAGCGAGCACTCAAGCATGAGTGGAGGAGGGGCAGAAAGGGAGACAAGGATCCAAAGAGGGCTCTGAGCTCGAGCAGAGAGCCTGACGTGGGGCTCGAACCCACAAACTGAGATCATGACCTGGGCTCAAGTCAGATGTTTGAGCCATGCAGGCACCTAGAAAGCAGGTGGAATCTTTGAAGCCCAAAGTTTCAAGCCAGAGCCTTAAACCTAAGCTACCAATGAGGATAGTTAGAGGCTGGATAGAGGGAGTAGAGGCTCTTTCTGTGAGGAAAATCCCAAGACTCTAGGAATGTTTTCTTTTTGTAAGTTAGTAAAGAAACCTGAAATCCTAAAACCTCTACAAGGCACAAACACAAATTTCCTGGGATCTAGATGTTGTGACAAAGCTTGCTCTATCACCACAAAACAACCACGTTGATTCTACACTTAAAAAAAAAACCTTTAATGTTTATTTTTGAGAGAGCACCAGCTAGGGAGGGGCAGAGTGGGAGGAAGACAGAATCCAAAGCAGGCTCCGGGCTCTGAGCTGTCAGCACAGAGCCCAAGGCGGGTCTCAAACCCACAGTGAGATCATGATCCTAGCTGAAGTCGGACCCTTAAGCCACCCAGGTGCCCCTAATGCTGAGCCATCCAGGTGCCGTTAATACTACATTGGAACCAGCCAGGCTACGAAAAAAAAGGAAAAATATCTGTGGTAGTAGGATGCTGGATCTGTGAAAGGACCTTAGAGATCACTTAATTCAACCTTTTCTCTTTAAAAGAGAAGACCTTAGGGTCTGCAAAGGCTGTGACTTTGCCTGCAGTCAGCCCAGCAAAATTCAGAACTCAAGCCTTCGGACATCAAGCTAAATTCTTTCTGCTACATCCAATATTAATACTTTCTAAGAAAGATGTTTATTAAATGTCTGTTAATATCCCAACGTATCTATCATTTAGAGAGCTACATATGGATTCGAGATAAAGTCATGGTTCTACCTTTAACCTAGTCAAGTGACCTGACCCATGAGGTACTTACCTCTGAGATTCTTCAAGATGTTCTCAACTTCATAAAAAGTGGAATTGCCCATACTTAGTGCTTCTTGGGCTCTGCTTTTAGCGAGGTTGGCACGGGAAAGCAGCTGATCTGATTTCTGTAAAGAGGCAGAATAAGATTACAGTAAACGTAACCTACACTGAGGAAGAGTATTCCTGGCAGAACAGCAGAATCACCCGGGCACACTTCATGACGACAGAGTGCTGCGATTCACCAGGAAGTCTTAGGGGTGTTGTTGCAAAGCCCTCCACAATCTGGGACAGAGCGAGCTTTATAACCTAACGACAAATCCCATATAGAGAACAGTCACAAATTCTAGTCTACCATCAAGGACAAGTACAGTTTTGCAAATCATAATCTTCTACTCTGGATACTTCCTAAAGCCAAGCTAGTAGAACAAGCTGGACCAAAATTGAACTCAGGCCTGAGTCCAATTCCTAGGTTTGAGGGCTGATCCAGTGGGTGGAAATGAATTCTATCAAGTTGTCTGTTACTCCATCTATAAGATACCATGACCTTCAGAGTTTTCTGTGGTTCCTCTTGCCATACTTATTCTCTTAGTAGGCATCCATTACCTGGTTGTTGAATGAATTAACAAAAGGATACCTGTCTCCCATTCTTTCCGTTCTGTAAGAGCTGCTGGGTTTCTTCTTCCCAGTTTCCCAGATTGCTTTGCATGTGCTTGAACTCCTCCATACGTCTAGTCACCAGGCCTGAGAGAGAATCTGCTTTTTGTCTGATCCTTTTTGCTTCTACCTATAAGCCCAAAGAAATGGAGTCTGACTTTCGGCCTATCAGTCACCACACCAGCTGCCTTAGGAGCTGGCATCATTGTTTGAGAATAACTGCAAAATCTAACAGAAACGAAGCAATATATCTAATGATAGCAGCATCAGACAAGTTTTGTCTCTTAAAATTTACATGTTTACATATGCATGAAAATGTTGTAGGAATCATGGTGAGTGCTTTTTGCATAGGTAGAAAGCTGAATCTTTAACTATGTGACAGTTAAAGGAATTGATGACAGAAACAACGTAAAACTTCTGAGAAGAACAAAAGGCTTCTGAATGGCAGTACATAGAGATGTACTATGGTTTGGACCCAAATGTAAAGACCAAGCTTCATCCATGGTAACTTCCCACAGGTTTCAGTAGTCCCCAAAACAAAGGAAGAGACCTAAAATTCTTATCAGCCAGCAGCTTCAGGATGTGGGCTAAGGCTTTTTCAGAGGCAGACTAGGGTTTAAGAACAAGGAAATAGTTAAGAAAATAAATACACTCCCTAATACAATGCAAGAAAGGTCCATATGGAGGGAAAGCTGAATGATTTGAGATTATGGAACCCCAGAAGAAGCAAGCACTATGGCCCTTCTGTCCACCAAGCACATCAGTACATGCCCTCACCTGAAAAGACTGATCACTGACTCCCTGAAGCTGAGACACGGAATTGAGAAGGCGAAGGCTATGCTGATAAGACCTGTCTGCCTCAATGTCAGCTTGAGTGGCCTCCCCAGACAGCTGCTGGGCCAGGGACTTGGTTTTCTCCAACCTGCAGGGTGGGGAGAAAGAACTTTGAGGAATCCCTTATTAAAAGCAAACATTCATCCTGTCGTGTAAAAAGTATGGACGTTGGAGTTACCGGAAGAACCAAATGAGGTTATGTGCCAGATGTGTCCCTCTCCATGATCTAAACATAAACCTTGAAGTTTATACAGATTAAATCAGAATTCAGCCCGAGTTTCCCACTCGTTGATAACATTTCTACATTCCATGCCACCAGATGGGTTTACTCACATCCTTCAACCACAACTTCCCGCAAGTACTGCAGTCTCTCAAAACACAAATTTTACTTAATCACCCTTTTCTTCCAGCCGTAAAGGCATGTCCTTTCCCCCAAATCAACACACTCCCCTTGTCCTTTAGCATTATTTGCTAACGAAACATGATGTGCCCCTCACGTGGTTTGCACCACACCACAGAAGGATGCAGATTATCTTGACCCGTGTGAGGACCCGTTGAAACCTACTTTCCCATAAGGCCTTGCACCGCAGAGCCCTCCAGGCTGCCCCTTCCACCTCCTTCCCGCTGAGCCTTGCGTGCCAGCGACAGCGCTTGTTTGGAGTAGTCCTCGGTTTCCCTCACCAGCCGCTCCATGTTACCGGCTGACGCAGCATGGCTGAAAGGATTGAAAACAAAGAATCTGAGTTTTCATAGCACAGGGCCTCCTTCAGGTGTCCTACTTGAATGAAGGGAGAGGAGTAAAGGAGCTAGTTTGGCTAGAAACGCCAGACGTCATCGATCCAGGTTAGTCGGAATGAGGGGATCTGTAGGTGTTCTGGAGATGGAGCCCACATCTTAGACCGTGGCTGCTGATTTTTTCCGTTCATGGTGGAACCAGGGGGAGCGGGGCGTGGAGACGGGTGCGAGCAGTCCGGGGGGGGGGAGGACGGGCGGATAAAACACTGCGTTTATAAGCTGTTCTGTGCCGCAAGAAACGCCTAGGTCTGATTTCATCCAGAACCCACACCCCCGTACTCTTGCTGCCACTCGACATTGGACCCTCCTCCAGAAGGGGGCAGAGCCTGTCCGTAAAAGTCCCCCACAGGCTTAGAAAGTGATTTTAAAAAAGGAGAAACAAACTCGAGGCAGCTCATGCTACAAAAACACAAATCGGCCCCCTTCACTGGCTGAATTCCATCTGGATTAACTGAGCCTTGCCACCGTGCTGAGCACTCTTGCTAAGAGCAAACCACTTCACCAGGGTGGTAGGATTTAGTCGGGCTAGGACTAGGGAGCCGCCTGGTACCACTGGGGCCCTGCAGAGCCGGTTTTTGGGAGGAGGCTCCCCGTCTACAGCCCTGGCCCCCACAGGCTAGTGAACAACTCGTTGCTACTTGTTCCCAGGCTCGAGGTGGGAGCCTGGGAGTCCCTCAAAGCTGCAGAGCGTTCTCTTCCAAAGGCTGATTTCATTTCACGGACCAAAAAAAAATCCCCTCTGACACACACACCAAAGCCATACTGTGAGTCAGAAAAATCTGTGGTAAAAAACACCTCCACCCGCAACACTTGCCAAACGACCGTGGCCCAGTGGCCACCTACATACACTAAAAGCCAAGAGGTTTAAAAAAATGGCCCCAAGGCAAGGAAATGGCTGCAAAGGAGGCTGGAGGCATCGAATATGTCGCTTAGGTCCTGAGGATTCTACAGTCTTTATAAGGCTTTTTATTTTTTAATGTTTGTTTTTGAGAGAGAGTGATAGAGGAGCAGAGAGAGGAGACAGAATCCAAAGCAGGGTCTAGGCTTTGAGCAATCAGCACAGAGCCCGACACGGGCTCAAACTCCCAAACCACGAGATCGTGACCCGAGTGGAAGATGCTTAACCGACTGAGCCACCAGGTGCCCCCTGAGGATTCTACAGTCTTGCTCGAGTCTGGCCTTGCAGAGGCAGCCTGAAGCAGGGGGTCTGCTCACCTGTCTGCCAATCTTGTGGCCTCCTGAGCCAGGCTTTGAAAACCATTTGGCCCCACGTAGTGCTCTGAGGGAGGAATGTTCTGAAAAAAGGAGACTTGGTTAAGACTTTGCACTCGGCCCTGAAACCTAAGCGGGTTTATGCATCTGTCCTGTTAGAACTTGTTATTAGCCACACAACATTCTACACCCTGATGTCAGGAGTCCCTAGTCACCATAATTATTACACTAAAAATAAGAATAAAGTAGAAATCCAAGACCAAAAAACCCTGTATACAGATACTGATGCATGTAAAAATATATTCATGTTAATATGTATTTTCATATGTATTTAAGGTCGATAGACTATATACCAAGTTTCAGTGGTGGTTATTAATGGCATCAGAGGATTATTTTCTATTTTCTACAAAATATTTTTGTAATGAAAAAAATCAATATGGATTTTTTAAATCCTTTCCTCAGCATATGATGGTCTTGCAATCTCCTTTATTCATCTTTCACCCACTTATTGTCACCATTGTCCTCTGCATTGAGAGGAGAGGGCTCATTCAAATCTCTCCCTCCTACCACCCTAAAAACTACAGCATTAAGAAAATCATACTGGCAACACTCCCCCCCCGCCCCCCTTTTCAGAATCCTGTCTTCAGAGATTCCTTCCTTCCTTCCCACCTTTCCTCTTTATTCATTCATGCAGCAAACATTTATCACAGCCACACACTATGCTGCGGGCTGGTAATGCAAATATGAACAAAACTAAATCCTGCCCGCTGGCAGCTTAGGGAGGTGTGTAGTGAGAAGGGAGAAGAGAGCCAACAAGAGGGGTACGGTTAGTGAGAAACGAGCTAGGAAGAACACAAATGCAGTAAAACCGGGAATTCCAAGAAGCCAAACAACACGAATAGTTGTGCCTGTTTCCAGAAAAAGTCCAGCTACCTGCCAGGCGGACCTAAAAATGGGAGAGACAGAAAGTCTGCAGGGGGGTCTCCCGATAGAGCGGGGATCTTCAGTACCCTATCCCAGCAACACCTACAGTGTTTCTCAGGGAGGCCTCGCTTTCCTCCAGGCTCAGGCGCGTCTGCGTGACCAGCCTGTGAGTATCTTGAACTCGGTTCTGATACTGACTGCCCAGGGCCCGAATTCTTTCCACGGCCCTCTTGAGGTCATCCAGGCGGCTCAGGTAGCTTTTCTCTTCACTCCTTGCCTTGGCCAGCTGGAGATTGAGAGATCTAATAGCACCTGGTACAGTAAGGAAAAGAAGGATGAGAACTTTCACAATCAGCACAGGGTAATCCAACGTGGAGGGTTGAAAAAGTTACTTTGACTGGCTTAGGGCAAAATGGTAAAAACCCAGTAAATGAATGAATGCACGGAACTGCTTTCATTGCCATCATTCAGGTCTCGGGAGAGTCCAGGATAGTCCTCCTCTCTGCAAGTGCTGGGCAGAGACACCTGCTCAACTGATACCCACAGGAGATTATGGAAATCGGCCTTCATCACCTTCTGAAATCTGGGCTTCTCTCAGAATGTCCTGAAGGGTCTGCTCAGCTTGCCGCATCCTGCCTTCCAGCTCCGTGCTGGGCACTGCTCCACCACCACTCTGAGCCCTTGAAACCAGGGCCTCCAGGCTCTGGAGCTGCTGCCTAAACTGGTCCATCTGAAACCACATAGGAAAGAAGATCAGAACAGAAGGTGGAGATCACCGTCCAATACCAGGTACTCAGGGGGGATAATAGTTAAAAGCCCAGAAATGCTTGGCAGGTCATGGTAGTAGTTAGACTAGAGCCTAGACTCTAAGTTTGAATCCTGGCCCCCCTATTTATTAGCTGTGAGTGTGACCTCAGGCAAGTCACTTTTATCCATTAAATGAGGATAATAAAATATCTCCTAGTTATTTGGGCTAAGTTAGTACCTGTATAGGGCTTAGAACAGTGTCTGGAACAAAAAAGTGCTATAGAGGGCAGGTAAAACTGATAAATTTAAAAAAAAGTTGAATTTGTTCTAATCTTCAGGGTTTGGGCCTTCTCTGCCTCCGCCCTTCACCCTAGGAAATAGTAACTAATAATTAACATCCATGTCCTTCTCTGGAATGTGAAAGAAATTTCTGGAGGCCATTCTTTGAACAGTCTTGACACCTTCTAGACTCCATGGATCTTCTATATATTTTTGTTTTGCAAAGGACCTCTCTTACAAATCCAACTAAAAAGTGGTATAAGTGGAAAGAGTACTGAATTCACAGGGAATTCAGGGTGGGATTCTTGGCTCCACTTGGCCATGTGACTGAAAAGTCGCAGATGTCCTGAGACTTGCTCAGTGAAAACGGATGTCAGAATACGTTCTCTTGCAAATTCACAAAGTTATCAAGTGTACCAAATGAGACAGTATCTGCAAAAGGGTACTTTTGAAAAGTCTATTTAAGAGCATCTGAAACCTATTACTACATTTTAACATAGCAATTCTTAAAGCAACAAATAGTAATCCCCACCCTCATCCCCAGGAGGCTAGGAGGGTCCTAGATTTGTGACAGACCCACCCAGTAGACACTTAGACTGTCCTTATGGGGGTGAGAGTTGGGTAACATGCACACCTGAATCTTCACTTGATTATAGCAAGCTGGGCAGCTGGTTAATGCTGCATGCTCACAGGTGAGGCCGCCATACCCTGGCTTGCAAACACAGCTGCCATCACTTCGGCACTCCCCAGGCTCTGAGCCCATTGGGTTGCAGTTGCAAGCTAGAAAAGACAAAGCATTCATATCAAGCTAATTCTAGAAACTGGAGTTATAGCAAAGGTAAAAGGATCAAGTCACCAATGGCAAAGAATCCTTCTTTGCCCTGGTCAGTTCACACTGTGCTAGATTCCTCTCTTGCCTGGGACTCCAACTACATTTCCAATATAGATAGAGCTTGGGAATCCTCTAGTAAGTTTGGTGAACGTGTGGATAAAGAGGGACTACAACAGTGCATCCTTTCTGGTGGTGCTTTTTTCCTCCCGTTAAGTCGTAAAGCTGTTGGATATTCTGCAGGTGCTCTAGCTCACTTTATTTTATAGATGAAGAATAGGAGCTCAGAGGTTGAGTCATCTGTAGGTCACACGGCAAGTAAATGGCAAGCCAGAATGAGAACTTGGAAAAGAGGCAATGCTCTTTTCCTTTTGCTCTGCTGCCTTTGATGTAGGAAATGCAGTTAAAAAAAAAAGTATCTTTATTCATGCATACTGATTGAGCACCTATGTGCCACACTGTTCTAGGAGCAGAGGATAGAACAGTGGGTGAGTTAGTGCACTAAGGGAGTTAAAGTGATTCTCTTGGTTGCTCTATGACACTCATGAAATACTTGGCACATAATATCACATATGTAAGTGTCTTGTTACTTACATATTTTTGTCTTATTAGCATATGATCTCTTCGGGGGCTGGAACTGACCTATTCATTGCTATGCCCTAGCATCTAGTTCCATATATGGATACTTGGCAGGGATTTGACAAAAGATAGTTGAGTGAAGAAATGTATAGTTTAAAGCCAGTAAAGTCTCTTAATAACTCCTTATCGCTAGAGTTATTCTGTTTACAGTGTACTTTCTCATATGCTCTTCCATTTACAACCACTTTGAGCTAAATATTCATCCATATGAAGAAGCTGAGGCTCAGATTAACTGCCATAACCAGTGTAATACAATAGGTAAAAAACTAGACTTGAACTCAGTACTGCAAAAATGGCATGTGGGCTCTTCCTATCATGGGGTACTTCCTAACCCACAGGGTTGGGGTTAGGGCAGGTGGGATCTCTGCCCCTGTGTGGAAGCCTCAGGTTGCACAGAGATCCTTAGGCATTTTCAGGGGTGGAGGTTCTGTGGGCTGGGCTCCCTGCAGACCTTACAAGGAACTGGGAGTCCTCCAATCTGGGTCCCCAGAGGCCCTCGTGGCTCTGTTATGATAAACAAGCCCCTGCATTCTGGGCATCAGGGCTGGTCTGGGACCTTTGCAACTGAGTGTAGGTCTGTGGGGGCAGGCCAGCTCCCTAGAACTGAACTTCTTGAATATATGACATGTGCAGAGGCTGGAAAGAAGGGCCGAGCGAGAGGACCCATGTGCACATTGGCGCTTTGATCTGAAGCAGCCCTAAGGAGTGCTCCCAGATAGCTGCTGCTTTGAAGCCAGGTCTCCTTAGTAGAACTTGAAACTGTTACCTTTGTCTACATCAATTACCCAGACTTCCTGAGAGGGTCTCTTAAACTGCTTCACAGCACCCCCCTTGCCACCTCCGTGTGTTCAGGCTCAGTCTCAGGTCCTTTCTTGCTGTCCTGTGAGAGGCTTTTGCCAACACTTCCTCTGCCAGCCTTGGAACCAGGCATACAACCTGGCCGCTTCGCACCTCCTCTTCCACTCAGGAATGTAAGCCTGGCCTTCTCTACTTCTCCCACCCAGCTTTAACCCACTCGACACCCTCCAGCTCTGTCTTCCAGAACCCTGCTGAGGGGTCTTAAGGCCTTTGACCGGTGAAAAGTCCAAACTGTTCGTGGGCCAGTCGGTCAGAGAAACCACAGTAGCATCCTATTACCTGCTGCTGGCCCAGCTGATTTGTATGTTCTTACATGTGTGCACATGCACACGCCATCTGTCAAGGGATGCCGTCTTACCTCGACACTTGTCCACTGGGTTGGTAGCCAAAGGGTCCCCAAAGTAGCCTGCTTTGCACCGGTCACAGTGGACACCAGCTGTGTTGTAGATGCACTTCAGACACCTGCCTGTCAGGCGGTCGCAGTTCCCGGAAGCACTGGGATCCACGTTGTTGTTGCACTGACAGGGCTGACAAGGCCTCACTGGGCCATGTTCCCCAAATGGGTCCCCAAAGTAGCCATCAGCACAGAGCTCACAGCGGGCACCTGGAAGAAACAAATGCCTGAGCCTGAGTGGTCATCTGTCGATGGCAAGAACAGGCACAGGGGCCTGGGTCCCAGTCACCCTCTGGAAGAGTCTCCCACCCTGGACCCCAGAACAATAGCAGGAGCAGGTGCCCAGGGCAGGAGGTCAGCTCTTCCATTCCATGGTGGTCCCAGATGTTAGAACACAGCAGCCCTACTAGGAGGCTTCCTGCCGATTAACTAGATGGTTGAGGAAGTCAGATTTATAGTACCATCACTGAGGCTGTTGCTGAAGAATGAACTTTCAGACTGCCCAGCAGACAAATGTGACATTTTTTTTAAAGTAACTTCTACACGCAACATGGGGCTCAAACCGACAACTCCAAGATCAAGAGTTGCATGCTCTACTGACGGAGCCAGCCAGGTGCCCCAAGAGAGGTGGCATTTAAAATGCCACTAAGTTTCCCTTCTGTACTGCGGTTCATCTTGTAAAACTGAAGCCACATATTTCCTCTGCAGCCTTCGCCTCCTAATTACAAACCTCCTAAAACAGCATTGGCCACACATACATACCATACAAGACCATGCGCTGCCCTTCCTCACCTCTCGGGCATATTCTTCTCTTTAGAATGAGCCCGTTTACGTGAACGCTAAGGAATTATAATTCCCCAGAATTTTTTTGGAAGAGCAGCTGTTGATGTGGATTTGTGGCATCAGGACAGGGAAGCAGGCCATGGGCCTTACCGGTGACCCCGTGGGGGCAGTTATTGCACACCACCTCCTCTGTCTCGGGCATCACGGAGCAGCTGAACCCGTTGCGGCAGGGGCACGGCTTGCAGCTGCGGGGGTCGTGTGGATCGTTGTAGAAACCAATAGGGCAGTCGGCACATTCGATGTCAAGATTTTCATCCCCTGAATAACAATCTCCTGGGAGGGAGCAAGAAAGGAGGGGCAGAGAAATGAGCAGGGTAAAACAATACACTTCCTTTAATATGGAGGAGGCGTGGGAGGCAGAGCGGAGTGACCAAAACCTTCCTTTTTGAAGCTTTCTCCAAAGTGAGCACTGGCATTCACCTTTGCCTTAGTACCAACTCCAGACCTGGCCACGACCCTGAATCTCACCCTGGCTCTCCTACACTGAGACCTAGCTTCCTTTACCATCCATACCTCAGTGCTGCTCCCCCAGTCCCCACAGCCTGAGGCCATTTGTCCACACATTCATTCAGACCCTGACATTGCCTTTGATGTCTCCATACAATTCTCGAAACTCAACACCAACTACACCAACCCCCCCTCCCCCCACTGAACCCTGACAGCCATTTCCTGTAACCTGGTACCTTTCCCACAACCTTGTGGCATTTCCATAATGAAAAGGATTGAGTGTAATAAAGCTCCATGTCCATCCTGTCAGACTCCAGCCCCTACCTTCCTAACCCTTTCCCATCTCCAAAATGAGTTGAGGCAGGGTCTTTCTCACATAGCTCCGTTTCTTCCTCAGGAGTCCCCAGCCCCCTAGCAGTACCCCAGCCACCTGGAACAGGTGTCTTTTCACTCACCTGTGTCTGGATCGCAGGCTCCTCCCCCTTGGCAGTTACATGGAATACAGGTGCCAAAAGGTCCCAGTCTGGCAGAATCTCTTTTGTAGCCAGAAGCACAATCCTGGCAGAACTGCCCTTTGTACCCAACGGGACATACGCATTGTTCAACCCAGGGTGCTGGGGCTCCGGAGACGGGGCGAGCTGAAATCAGGGTCACGTTGTCAAGGTACCCAGTACCTGCAATACGGAGAACAGGTTTAGAAGCCAGCAGGTGGTGAGGTCTGAAGATCTAAAGTCAGGCCTCTCTCTAGATTTTAGACTTAACACCCTAACAAAGATGAGTGGCGTTCACTCACTATGCCACAGGTACAGCAGTCCGTCATGACTGACGCACATCAGAAAAGCCAGGGTTTAAATTCTGGTTCCACCCTCACCAACTGTGTGAAGTGGGTGGGCAAGTCGCATAACTTTACAACTGTTTCCTCAACTGTAGAAGTAAGAATGGTCTCTGCCTCCCATGTTGGTTGTGACATTAAATGGGACAACTGCATATGTTACGTGCTTGGTTCGAGGTAAAGATTCAATAAACTGTTAATAAACGCTGTTTCCTCTTAATGCAAATAAAGCAGGGATGATATAGAAATTATGCATGCCAGCTATGCTTCCTGTTTTAAGTGTGGGAAAAGCTCAAACTCCCATATAAATCCAATTGGGATGAGGAATACCCCACATGTGAAGGTCAATAAACGGAGTTAACAGGGGTGCCTGGGTGGCTCAGTCGGTTGGGTATCCGACTTCTGCTCAGGTCATGACTTCACGTTTCCTGGGTTTGAGCCCCGTGCCGGGCTCTGTGCCGACAGCTCAAAGCCCGGAGCCTGCCTCGGATTCTCTCTCCCTCTCTCTCTGCCCCTCTTCTGCTAGTGCTGTCTCTCTCAAGAATAAAAATTAACAAACTTAAATATAAAAGTAACAGAATAAACGTGATGTCTGAACATGGTAGCCCTGAGTATAATCCCAAAGGAATTCCAGGAATAGAGGGCTCGTTGTGGACGCCATTGTCTAGCCTAAGGGAACATGCCCAATTGTTGCAGATCCTCTTCAAGTCCGCTTTCACCTAAATCTGGAGGCTCTTTTAAGCAAAGTAGCATCATTTCATTCTTCATTGGTGTTAACCTTCTTTTAGAGAAACATTACTTGTAACTTCTAGAATGTGAAAATTTAGACCCAGAGACTCGATCATAAACCATCCTGAAACAAAACCTAAAGAATTCATTTCCCTTCATCGCTTACTGTATTCTCCATAGGTAGCTCGGATCCGCAGGGCCGTGAGGTTACGCAGTAACCTCCGATACTCAAAGTAACTCAGCTGGGGGCTCCAGTTACTGCTTGGGCGTTCGTTTAACCTGCAGGATTTAAAGCCAAAAGCTTAAGAATCCAACTCTTATCAAAATACACCCAAGAATGTGGGAACAGCTAAGCCCCTTCACAGCCCTGCCTAACCAGGGGGACGAAGGATGGGTAGCTGCATCTTTATAGGCATAAACTTGGAGTTTCCTCCCTCCGCGGGGGGAGGCAGTGATAGAGGGCACCTCAGTGTTGGAAGCCCAGCTCCAGGGCTCATGGCATCCGGTGAGGGTCCAAGTCTTCAGAGCCCACTTCCTATTCTTTGCCACACAAAACTTAGTATCAGGAACATCTCCGAGTTCAAGAAGCCCTGACCCTCAAGGGAGCTGCCATTAGCTTTTGGTTTTAAATGACTTAGCACATTTCACTTACTCTCTCCAAGAGTCCGCTTTCACGTTCTACACTGCCCACGTCTTGATTTATCATTACAGTATCTGGCTGCATCAGATCACCAGCCCCTGCGCTCATCTTCCAGATTTTGGTTTGTGTTCCAGAAACAACCCTACCCCTTCTGTTTCATTCCCTGACCTCACTTCTCACCGTATTCCTGTCCCCAACTCCACACTTCACTCATGCATCACTGCTTAGAATTTCCTACTGCACAAAACCTCCTCGAGCATGACTTAACTGCCTCTGCCTGGCTAACCTTCCCCCAACCCCTCCTTCTTTCCTTAGAAAACTGTTCATGTGTCATGTGTTCTTGGGAAGCTGTCCGTGACCACAAAATATGTGTGCCCACCTTGTCCATCTGGTCACTTTCAAGCCACACTGTAATACTGTTTGTTTTTTCTCCCGTTAGCTTGTCAGGGGCTTCAGGGCAGGAAGCACATCCTGTTTCTGTATATAATACCATGTCTGGTACGTGAAAGGTGCTCAGAAAAGCTTGTTAAATGAACAAAGGAACTGGACTTCAATCAGTTTTGGTGTTTGACCTGTGTGTAGTCACTCTTACCTGAACGTGTAAGTCTTGGTGATCCCACATGGCAGTGTCTTGCCACGTGGCATCAAGGGAGCTGTGACCCGCAGACCAGCACCTTCCAGGATCACATCGTGAGCAGATGGGTGTCTGCCTCCCCTGTCCACACGGTAGTCAAAGGACAGGGTTTGCCCATAGCTCACCTGTTGATTCCCAAGAAATTTGGCTATGAAACAGAATTTGAAAAGATTGAGATCAGTGTGAAGCTGGAGAAGCAAACGAGCAAGCAAGTTTGGCATGAATGTTGATTTCTGTGGGAGTCCTGTGTTTGCCAGTGTATCGCCCTGCCCCAGACCACCCTTCCAGAAGAGCCAGCTCACAGACATGGCTATACTGCTATTGGTTACAAAGGAGAGTTCGTTACTAAAATGCTAAAAGGGCCTCGTTATAAGACCATTCCACTTATTAGATGATGTATAAAGATCCGAGGTATGTTGACAATAGTACCCTCTGTTACATACACTTCATAGTTCAGACATTGTTACATTTGGTGTTAATTCTTGGAGGTATTATTCCCATTTGACAGCTGAGAGAGTTGAAATTTAGAAACGTTAAGAGGACAACTTGCCTAGATACTGCATATTAACTGACATGAGTTAACGATTTTAATTTATAAAGGGTTAAAACTTTGAGCAATGCCTTATTTTCACTTTTCCACCTGCTTCTCAGTAGGTCCACAGATTTGACCACTATTTTGTCTTGGTGGGAAGCCTAGAAACTTCCCACTTGATTAAAGTAGGAACTGCAGCCAGACTCTGGCTGCCTGATACAGTCCTGTTTTTTTTTTTTAATCAAAACATATATTTTTTCAGGAATAGAATTTAGTGATTCATCACTTATGTATAACAGCCAGTGTTCATCCCAACCAGTGTCCTCCTTAATTCCCCTTGCCACTTTGGCCCTTCCCCCCCCCACCACCCAACACGCCACCAGCAATCCTCAGTTTTTCTGTATTTAAGAGTCCCTTATGGTTTGTCTCCCTCTGTTTTTATTATTATTTTTACTTCCCTTCCCTTATGTTCACCTGTTTTGTATCTTAAGTTTCACATGAGTGAAATCATGTGACTGCCCTTGACTTCTTCCTCTGACTTTAGCATAATACATTCTAGTTCCATCCACGTTGTTGCAAATGTCAAGATTTCATTTTTTATCACTAATATTCCATTGAATATATATACCACATCTTCATGCATTGGTCAATGGACATCTTGGCTCTTATTGGTCGTGCTATTGGCTATAATTCTAGTGCTGCTATAAACACTAGGGTGCATGTGCCCCTTTGAAATGTCACTTCTGTATCCTCTGGATGAATACCTAGTGCAATTGCTGGGTCATAGGGTAGTTCTATTTTTAACTTTTTGAGGAACCCCCATACTGTTTTCCAGAGTGGCTGTACTAGTTTGCATTCCCACACAGTCCTGTTCTGTTGTGCCATGACTTTGTCAATAGGGCTGAGGCTCCAACCATCGTCTGGAGATAGTGTTCAAAACAGCAATGAGTGACCCGGTTTTCACATTCTCTACCTCCATTTTTCTATCATGACTTCGAGTCTTAAAAGTTGGATTCTACAAGAAAAATACCATACGTACCAGGAGCTACAAAGTAGACAGGGTCTGATCGTCGTGCAGAGCTAAACACATCTCGATGGCGTTGTGACCACTGCAGCTTTGCAGGAGCCCCATATCTTTGGACAGCCTTCCAGCCGTCAACATCTAAAACACAAAATCACTCTGCATTCAGACAAACCTCTTCATCTATTGAGTTGAACAAGACAAGACTTGATTGCCAAAAAGTCCCAGAGGTGAATAACTAGTGGGGTTTTCTTAATAGTTCCACACTTCCCTGTGCCCTTCTCTACTTGGGCTTCAACTTCACCTCCCACCCCGCAGCTGCTTTGACTTGAGTTTGATTCTTGTAATTCATACTTTTATTTACATAAGTTCTGGCCTTAGTTTCTCTTTGAACATATTAGACCCTCTTAACTAAGCTGAAATCCTATCCATCCCCTATGTTTTTATGGTGTTTTGTAGCTTGGTAACTAATTTCACATATATTGCATGTAATGTATGTGAAAGCAGTGTTAGTGTTATTAGTATTAGTTATCACATAACCCCCCCTCCCCCCGCTGCTGCCCCCATCCAAATGAAAGACTCTTTTGTGGTTTTAAAATACATGGAGATGGGAAATGCCAGGGACATGAAAATTTGGTCTCTTTAGTTATTTTACATTTTTCATGTGCTAATATAAGGAAACTGTTCAGGTAGGACTTTTTCAAGTCATTAGGATCTGTCTTCTTGCCCTGACCAATTAATGTATGTTAAAAGCTAGAAGAGAAATGCTAAAGATCAGTCAAGAGTCCCGTGCTATGATGAGGAGGGAGGTTGTCTGTATAAACACAAAGCCCTATACAATATTAAAAACAATTCTAGAAACAGGACACTTTACCTTGATGGAAAGTAGAGATGATTTTATGGACACTGTAGTCTCCAGAGCTGTGGCAGTTGGCTGAATGCCCATAGCAAAAACACTGGGTGCAGCCCTCGGGGTTTCCCCCATCCAGGTGATAGTAACCTGGTCGACACCTGTAGCAGCATTTTAGAAATCGGGACAATGTTATGGGTTACTTCTTAGTTCATATAGAGAGCATGACGACTGATCTTTCTCTCCCACCTGGCCCTGTTAATTCCCAGAGCTAGGAAATCCTAAGTTACACGTACCACCCTCACTCCCAAACCTGATGGACAATCACAGCCGCCCACTGAGACAGCATGAACATTCACTTTCCCTCTGGTAGAGCAGAATCACATTTGACTTGGTGGTCTGGGAACTTAGTGATTTTTCCATTCGTGCTGAGGAATTGAGTGGAGGCCACATGAGTGGGACAAAAAGAGGGCAAGAGTATGTAGAGCTGGCCCTGTCTTAGAGAAAGTGTTTGGAGGCAAAAGAGTAGGAGGTTGGAGGCCAGGCAAGGAAAGGCAAACACCCGGGTCCCAGCACCCCCTCAGCTGTACTGACCCGCATGAAATACCAGGTGCTGCCCACCATCCCTGCCCCTTAACCTGGGCTCTGGCCCACAGGGGAAGGGGCAGGTGAAGGTATGACAAAGAAGGATGGCTCTCCACAAAAGCAAGATGTAGGCTGGCATCCCACCTGCCAGTAGCTTCTCTGAGGACCACAGCTACCAGGCAAGTTGCAGATGTTGGGGTCACAGAGAAGAAGGAAAAACTGGGGAGGACTTGTTTCTCCATTTGAGTTAGTTACATCCTTCTACATGAAATAATAGTTTCAACTATCATTTATTTAGCACTTATTTCCAGTGTTCTTAGATGAAGACACCCAGGTCAGGGAGGTTAAGAAACTTGTTCGAGGTCCTACAGCTGGTAGGTGACTGAGGCAAGATTCAAACCAGGTACATCTGCCTCTAAGTCATGTGGTCTAATCCATGGGACCCTGTGTTGGGAGTCTGTTCGTTGTGCAAAATCACAGAAAAGCAGGTTGGCTGTGAACAGTAAATGCTTCAGAGAATAGCTGTAAGTAAGCATTCTTTTTTCTCTAGAGAGCAAAGGCTTAAAAAAAATATGGTTTCTGTGGACGAAACCTGTAGGTTAAAAGGGATTGGAAGGAAGGGAGGGGCACAGAAAGTGAGGGGAAGGAACTGAGGGAAATCAGGCGCAAAACTAAACAGTGTTTAGGGATGTACTTGGGTAATAACTTATGAAGAAAAGGAAGGAAGCAATTACACAGGTCGGAATAGTGGTCACTTCTAGAAAGAAGGGAGGGTGTCGTCAGTTGAGATGGCAAATTTTTAGTGAAGGTCTATTTCTTAGAATCAATTGGTGATGCTGATGACATTTATGGTATGTGCTTTTCTATTTCTGTCCTACACTTTGAACTTAAAAACCTTTCAACAAGTGACTCCTCTTTTCCATACCCCCACCTCAGCCCCAAGGAACTCCCTGAAAACACAAGCTGGGAATGTATCTGGAATTTTCTCTGCCCAGGTATAAGTGATTGTCAGAATGGCAAAGAACTGCTTTCTTTACTTTTTTTTTTTTCAACGTTTATTTATTTTTTGGGACAGAGAGAGACAGAGCATGAACGGGGAAGGGACAGAGAGAGAGGGAGACACAGAATCGGAAACAGGGTCCAGGCTCCGAGCCATCAGCCCAGAGCCTGACGCGGGGCTCGAACTCACGGACCGCGAGATCGTGACCTGGCTGAAGTCGGACGCTTAACCGACTGCGCCACCCAGGCGCCCCAGAACTGCTTTCTTTACTTTAAGGAAATGAGAAGAAAGCCTTTACCGCCTTTACCTCTTGGGCCAGCCTCACAGCACTCAGCTCACAACAATCTTAAAGGAGAGAAGAGTTTTAGAAGTCTGGGCAGTCTGTCCTTAAGGAATATCTTGCAAGCAGCAACTGAGGGTGGATCACTGTTTACTGTGCCACCTGCCCCAACATGGCTTGGGGCCCAACGGGCTCGTACGTCTCCCGGCTCGTGTGTGTGCATGTAACCACTGTTCTGCCCCTGGGCGGCTCCTTTTCTGCACACGATGGTTCTATATGGCCATACACGGAGATCTTTCCTCTTACAAGCATTTTCCCAACGTGCTTGATTAGGCCAGGTCTTTTCTGGGACCCAGCTGAGTCATGTGACCTCACTGCATACCACCTTATATGGGAGCACCTAGGATTCGGAGTCAGCTGGCAAGGGGACTCACTGGGGCCCTGTGCCTCTGCGGCCCTTGTAAACAGAAGGGGCCCACGGCAAGAGCATAGAGTCCAGTGAGACTCGGGGGCTCCGTGGTATTTTTTTAAAAAGCAAGTTTTTGAGGACAGAGGGCAGGACCGAGGTCCTCAGCATTTAAGTGTCCCTTTTCCACAACCACACTCGGAGGATAAAGCCTCATGCTAGTTGCCGGGAGACTCTCCCTCCCTGCTGTGTCTGAAGGGCCACGGCTACACACACCTATCACAGCGCTCTCCGGTGACAGCTGGCTTGCAGACGCAGCGGCCTTCGTCACAGGGCCCCGAGATGCCAGCTGGCTCGCAGTCACACTTGGAGTCTCTGGGAAAGAAGAAAAAGAAAATGAGGGGTGTGTTTCCAAGGGCTTCTCAACCACACACCTAAAGATCAGGGGCTCACAAGCAAATGTCAGCAACTTAAGTTTTTCATCTTCCCTGATGCCTCCCTCAGCCATCTTTATCGGTGCTAATCTCTCGCAGACCCCGTAAGGGCTCATTTGTCTGTGTTCCTGCTCCTCTGATGGCGACAGCCAGTCCGTGAACTGTCTGCTACCCAGCCCTAAGGAGAGAAGGGGATTGCGCCAGAATGTGAACCAAATTCCTCACTAAGCTGGGTAGTTTGGCTTGGTTTGGTTGACTGTTTGGTTCAGTCGCTTTCTCGTCCTTTGCTTCTCTATTGCTTGATTCAGTGATGACTGCTTTCATCAGGACTGATCCCATCTACTTGGTATTGTATTTAATAGCTCTTTCTCTTGCTAATACTCCTATCAAGACACAATTCTCATTCCATGCAATTTAAAATGTACAACTGAAGGGGCGCCTGGGCAGCTCAGTCGGTTGAGCATCTAACTTTGGCTCAGATCATGATCTCACAGCTAGTGGGTTCGAGCCCCGCTCCGGGCTCTGTGCTAACCGCTCAGAGCCTGGAGCCTGCTTTTAGATTCTCTCTCTCTCTCTCTCTCTCTCTCTCTCTCTCTCTCTCTGCCCCTTCCTTGTGCTCTCTCTCTCAAAAACATTAAAAAAATTTTAATGTACAATTCAATGGCTTTTAGTAGGTTCTCAGAATTATACAACCATCTCCATTTTAGAACATTCCCATCACTCCAAAAAAAAAAAAAAACAAACAAAAAAACCTGTGCCCTTGGCAATCACCCTCCACTTCCTTCCCCCCCAGCCCAGGCAACCACAAATCCACCTGCTGTCTCTATAGATCTGCCTGCTCTAAACATTATCTGTAAATGGAATCCTACAATCTTCGGCCTTTTTGTGTTTGGCTTCTTTCACTTAGTATGTTTTCAAGGTTCATCCAGGTATCAATTTTTTATGGCTGAATACAGTTCTGTCATATGGATAGACATTTTGTTTATCCATTCAACAGGTGATGGACATTTGGGTTTAGCTATCATGAATAATGCTACAAACATTTGTGTACAAGTTTCTATGCAGAGATGGATGTTTTCATATTTCTTGAGTGTATTTCTAGGAGTGGAATTGCCGAGTTTGGTGGTGGTTTTCTTCCTTTTTTGCAAGACATTCTCAGTGGAGTCAATGTTTCCATTTAATTTTGATGCAATCTGTCTTGTGCAGACCAGTGCTTTGGCTAGTAACTAGTGTCACTCAGATGGGCATATAGTCATATGTGCCTATATTGTGGGTCTAAAGCCAAATATGCTGTCTTTTCCCTACTGTTCTGTTCCTCTTCTGACTTCCCTTTGATCCCATCCAAATCCTACCCAAGCCTGGATTGGACTCCCCTCACCCCCTCACATTTCTCATCCAATCAGATTCCAGGTCCTGTCAGGCTCCCTGAAGGTCCCTTCCCCAGTGTGGGAAAGTGGATCTTTCACTTGCAAGGGTCCCCTCCTGTCCTGCCCCACCACATGACTAACTGGACCCTCTGACAAACATTATACAACATCTAGTGGTTGCTAAGCACCAGAGACACTAAGAAATGGGGTCCTGGTCTCTAGGAGTCTCAAGGCAGGGCAGAGCTTGAACAACGATGGCAGTGGAGCATAAGGCCAGCTGGAGCCAAGCAGGAGCACAGCCTGTGTGCCTCCCCCCACTCTGGGCACTGGGAACGCAGTAGTGAACAAGACAAAGCCGACATGGAGCTTCCAGTCTAGTGGGAGAGACAAATACGTAAAGAAAATGAGGGATGTGAAGTAACAATGGTCAGAACACAGAAGGTGGAAAGGCCTCTGTGGAGAGTGGATGAGGTGAGGATAGAGCCTGTGAAACTCCCTGTGGCCCTGTAGGAAGCAGGAGTGCTCTAGGCCAGGTCCAAGATCGCTTGGCTTAGCTCCTCTGAAGAAGGGAAGGCAGGCTGGTAGGGCTGGAGTGCAGGGGGCCAGGGGGAGAGGGGTGAGAAAGCCAGGGAGAGCTCACTGCTGACGGCACAGAGGGCAGAGGATGTTGTAGGGCCCTGCTGGGCCTGCATAAGAAGTTCGTCTCATTCGGAGTGGGAAAGGGAGCTACTGGAGGGTTGCAAGCAAATTTATAAAGCATTTCCAAAGGGACACTGGACTGAGGGAAGGGTCTCTGAAGACCATGTAAAAGGGGCAGGGAAGGCCGGAAGAGAACAGTCTGTGTGGAGGCCCAACGGGTGAGAGGACTTGGGACAGTGGTCACCAGGCCGGTGCAAGCATGGCTGGAGGGCATTCTCCCACGGGCAAGGTGCTGGAAAAGGGGGCAAACGGGAAATGATCCTCTGTGGGCACCCCCTAGCTAATGGCTTCCCTGCCAAGCTCCCCTTCCCATAGTGTCTGCTGGCTCTGCAGCTCTGTGGACTGCTTAGGTGACTGATAATGTGTGCTCCCTCCTCTTCCAGAAAAGCCTCTGAAGAGGGACGGAGGACGCTTCAAACTATAGGAATAAAATAGTGCAGAAAAATTTCTCTAGCCCAGTTCATGTTGGGTTGAAATGGGTCCCAGGTAAGAATCTGAAGGACTCTTTACCTCCATCCTGGTTCATCTAAACTGCGGGCAATCCTCAGGGTGGAGAACGTGGGTTCCAGAGCCAAAACTCTGGGCCTAAATATTAGTCCACCCTCACCAGTAATATTGGGCAAACTTAACCTCCTGGGGGGCAAATTTCTGTCTTTAACATGAGCTAATCCCAGCCTCCAAGGGTTATTGTGAGGATCACGTGCCATAACCCACATGAAGTCCTCAAGCAGCGTTTGGCACACAGTTAGTACTCAGTAAAGTGGCCACTGATGTCACGGTCATTGTCATCACTCATGGCAGAAGCTGCAGTAGTGGGTGCAGGTGCTTACAGTGGCCTCTGGTCCTGGGTGCACCCAGCATCGGTGAGTGTGTGGAAGCCTGGCAGACACCGGTCACACCTGTCTCCTGTCACACCTGGTTTACAGCTGCACCGTCCAGAGTTGTCACATCGAGCGCTGAGAGCACCTGTAACCCGACGGGGTCGGGTGGGGGGGGGGAGGGAAGAAGGAAAGGAAATACTTAATCTATTTGGCATTAGGAAACAACTGTGTGGCCCCGTGGGAGCACAAGGAATATCCACCACCTGCTGCCGCTAATAATTCCACATTGTCTGAGTACATGTCCACCCACTGGGGCAAGGTTTCACGGCCAAGGATGGCTTCTTCAGGCGAAGAAGCGGAAATTACTCTTGAAGGCATGCATTTTTACTTAGTATCTGTTCTGATTTGAACATTAGTGTGTAGGCCACTGCCTTGTAAGTTGAATCCTGGAGATCTCAAGAAGAGGGAAAATTTGAGCCCATCAGCCTCCTCAAAGAGAGTCGGTAGGAGAAAGTGAGCAACGTCTTCCCTTATTCCTGGCAGGCAAAAGCTGTATTTTAAGTGTCCATGCTTGAACAGTGTGATTCTTGAGTGTGAAGAGGCTTCCTAATCTAAAATCTGTACCTACCCGGAGCGGAAGACATTCTCGTCCTTGGTGCTATCTCCCCTTCCCCGTGCATCGTACCTGCTTAGTACATATGGCATTTGCCCTGTGATCAGTTTTGTACAGACGTGCTCGTACTGGTCAGCAGGCCCTCTGACTGAGCGTTGCTGAGAGAACGGTGCTGAGGACAGCAACTGTGCCACTACGGAAGCCGGACTCTTCTCCATTCTCACTGCCTTCCCTTCCCCCGCCACAGTTCAAGCCTCTGTCTTTTCTCCCAGGACCCGGCCTCCCACTCTCTCTTCCCGGCCTCCATCCTTGTTTCCTTTCTCTCCTCTCATCTTCCTTTAAAAATGGAACTCATCTTGGGGTGCCTGGGTGGCTCAGTCAGTTAAGCATCCAACTTCGGCTCAGGTCATGATCTCACAGTTCCATGGGCTCGAGCCTTGCATCAAGCTCTGTGCTGACCGCTCGGAGCCTGGAGCCTGCTTCGGATTCTGTCTCTCCCTCTGTCTCTGCACATGCTCCCACCCCGGCTCATGCTCTGTCTCTCAAAAATAAAACATTTTAAAAAATGGAGTTTATTTTTAAATGGGTGGTTCAGTTGGTTAAGTGTCCAACTCTTGATTTTTGGCTCAGGTCATGATCTCACAGTTCATGGGTTTGAGCCCCATGTCCGGCTCTGGGCTGACTGCACACAGCCTGCTTGGGATTCTGTCATCCCCCTCATCCCCTGCCCTTCCCTTCCACTTGAGTGTTCTTCCTCTCTCAAAATAAACATTAAACATTTAAAAATTGAATTCCGATCACATTACTCATCTGTTTAGTCCTCTGGTGGCTCCCCACTGTAAGCAGCATAAAATGCAAACTATATCATGGCCCACAAGACTCAACCTCTCCTTCCTTCCCTCGGCTCCCAGCCCCCCAGCCTTGCTGGTAGAACGTGCCAGACTGCTTCTCTCCTCAGGCACCTGCACTTGCTGCTCCCCTGGCCTGGAACCCTCCTTCCCCAGAGCGTCCCCTGATTGGCCCGTCCTTGGCTCTCCGGTCCTGAGTTACTACTACTTCTCTAGTGAAGTCTTGGATCCCCAAATCTAAAATCTCCATCCCACCACTACCATAGTCCTGCTTCCTCAGGATTCCCTCAGTCTGTGTTCCCTGCTGTCCCCAGTGCCCAGGACAGAGCCCGACGTAGAGGAGATGCCCAGAAATCTGTTGGATGAAACCATGTACGCCATGAAAGAGGTCGGGGCTGTTGGGAGAGGGTCAAGGGTAGCAAAAGCTGAGCAGGAAGGTGGTGAGAAGTGTACCTCCTCTACTTGACGATTTCCCTGTGCTGGCAGAATGATCAAATAATCCGCCTGTCTCAGGGGACCGTAGTAGCTGGTACCAAGCCGACAGGACACTAACCAGTTGCTCCTTTCTTTCTAATCAGTTATTTGAATTTTTAATTCACTGGTAGATACAATTCAGATCGATAAAGGTATTGGCTCTGCACCTACATAAAGGTTTTTATGCCATCTGTGGAACATGAACAACACCAGTCACACTCAGAGCTGGTGGAAGACCCCATGTCAACTCTGTAAAGCTTGAAGGGGCCCTTCTACTCTACAAGCTGTCAGCCAACACAGCTAAGAAGGAAAGCTGCTTTTTGAATTATGCTCTGATAAGTAACATTCAACAGGAGACATCCCTCTTTATTTAAAAAAAAACACTAAACGTTTATTTTTGAGAGACAGAATGTGAGCAAGGGGAGGGGCAGAGAGAGAGAAAGGGAGAGAGGGAATCCAAAGCAGGCTCCAGGCTCCAAACTGTCAGGACCGAGCCTGACGCAGGGCTCAAACCCACAAATGGTGAGATCATGACCTGAGCCGAAGTCCTGAGCCACTCAGGAGCCCCAAGACATCTCTTTAATACAATTAGTTGTTTTCTTTAACACAAATGGGTGTTGATGGGTTCAGAAACACATTTTTTTTCTCCATTCCAATTTATGGAAATCACGCTTTTGACTTAAGACCATTCTCCCTGCAGGGGTGCCTGGGTGGCTCCATCGGTTGGGCGTCCATTTCGGCTCAGGTCATGATCTCGCAGTTTGTGGGTTCGAGCCCCGGGTCAGGCTCTGTGCTGACCGCTCATAGCATGGAGCCTGCTTCAGGTTCTGTGTCTCAGTCTCTCTCTCTGCCCCTCCCCGACTTGTGCTGTCTTTGTCTCTCAAAAATAAATGAAAAAATTTTTTTAAATTCTCCCTGCAGTAATTTTTCAGAAATGAGTTATTCTTAGAAAATGGAAAAGACTGTACTTTGCTTTGGACTCTGGCCTACATAGACCAAAATGGTTATTCTACAAAACACTGTTCTGAGGGAAATTAATGCTCTCATGAAAATAGGCATTCTATGTTCAAAAGAGTTCGGGAAATGGTACACTCTAGGCCTTTCAGAGACTTATAACTTCATTCAGTAGGCATGACACTTGTTTAACTCTTAAGGCCAGTGTTTCCAACCATTATTTGACATTCTTACAGGCCACGTCTATTATCTTGAACACTGTGCTCTACAGGACATTATCTAGAGAATTCTGCTCTAGAAACTGGGGGTCAAAGTGCCCAGACTTTGAAATCCAACAACTCTCCCTTCAAAACCAGCTCTGCCACTTAGCTCTGTGTCCTTGGGTAAACTGCTTACTCATCGCTTATTTTAAGTGAGGGTAACAGCCTATGCCTCTTGGAGCTGTTGCAAGACTTTGAACTAAAATATATAAAGGCCTAATTTAGTGTCTCGCACGTAATGGGCCCTGGAAGAATGTAGTTTACGCTGCTATCTCAAGGCCTCCTGCAAACCTTGACACAGACATGTGCACGGGTCCTTACTGTGAAAGTGACTACTTTATTTCACATTCTAAAACTGCCAAAGTAATAGCACTGGGTTTTCAAAGTTTCTCATTAAGATAAAAACCCTTGTCCCAATTCCTACATTGTGAGTTGCTTTTAGGGATTGTGAATAACTGGGTTGAAAGAACAAAATAGCTTCCTGTTTTGTGTCCCAATAAGCTCTTTTAGGGCTTCTATAGTTTCTGTGCATCTGAGGGTTCAAGAAGTTATTCTAAAATGATTACTACTTAAAAAACAGCAAATTAAGGGGCACCTGGGTGGCTCAGTCAGTTGAGCGTTCGACTTCAGCTCAGGTCATGATCTCACTGTTCATGGGTTTGAGCCCTGCGTCAGGCTCTGTGCTGACAGGTTGGAGCCTGGAGCCTGCTTTGGATTCTGTGTGTCTGTCTGTCTCTCTCTCTCTGCCCCTCCCCTGCTTGTGCTGTGTTTGTCTCAAAAATGTTAAATTTTTTTGATAAATAGTAAACAAGAGGGTATGTCCGTTTGAGAACCATTTATATACACACACACACACACACACACGTATTTTAAAGTAACAAGAATTTAAGAATTATAAGTTATTTAAGACCTGTTTTGGGACACCTGGGTGGCTCAGTTAAGCGTCCGACTTTGGCTTAGGTCATGATCTCACGGTTCATGAGTTCAAGTCCCACTTCGGATTCTGTGTCTGCCTCTGCCTGCCCCTCTCTCTCTCTCTCTCTCAAAAATAAAACATTAAGAAAAGTTAAGGCATGTTTTCAATAATAACCAAAATGTTGTATTATGAGTAATCCATTGTCAGGATCATAAATATGTAAATAATAATTAAGAGAACAAGGCCAGTATCCTTGATGTCCATACAGGTCTCAAGAACTTAGGTGTCATGGAAAGAAAAAACCACATGTATGTACAGTGAATTTCAAAATATTTGCAAAAGGTTTTCAGGGCTTTTACACACGTGGTTATAAGAGTTGAGGAGAACTCCGCCCTGTTGCTGAACCCACAAAGTCATCACCTAAAAATAAGCCTGGCTGCTATATTTATGAGAAACTGATGTGACATCCAAAATCTGTGACCACTTTGGGGATTACGGATGCTGTTGGCTTCATTCACCATACATGGAATGATTGCATTTTTTGGTAAGGTGTGTTCTTCATTTTGAGATTGAATATATGATAAATTCCCTTTTAGGTGATGCATATCTTCTGGCTGATTGGGAGACTGAGAAATCCCATAGGGAATTAAATTTGTGCCACTGGGCTGGGAATCTGGGCAGCCACAGTGTCGTGGGAGACGGCACAGGGTGGGAACCATCTCTGTCACTAACACGCCACTCAGGCTCGCAGGTCAGTCTCTGGAACGTCACCTTCTTCGTGTCCATAACGGTGGGTGGAGCGTGCTAACACCTGCAGGTTGTCAAGTTGTTATGAACACTGAAGAAGATCTAGCCTATAAAAATATTCTGGAAAAATATAAAGCACTACCCAGATCTTAGGAAATAAGATCCATGAAGCTTTTCCTGGACATCTAATTGTCTGATGTTGGGGATAAAAGAACAGCATTCTGATGCTTTATTTGTTCATATGGAAGGAATAAGAGAATAGTTCTCCATCAGAACTCTGGATTATAACTTTAGCTTTTGCAATTGCTTGTTAGAGGACTGGAGGCCATCAGCTCCTCTAGGCCTCCCTTTCCCCACTCTTTAAAAGACATTTGAGGGGCGCCTGGGTGGCACAGTCGGTTAAGCGTCCGACTTCAGCCAGGTCACGATCTCGCGGTCCGTGAGTTCGAGCCCCGCGTCGGGCTCTGGGCTGATGGCTCGGAGCCTGGAGCCTGTTTCCGATTCTGTGTCTCCCTCTCTCTCTGCCCCTCCCCCGTTCATGCTCTGTCTCTGTCCCAAAAATAAATAAAAAATGTTGAAAAAAAATAAAAAAATAAAAAAATAAAAGACATTTGAAAAGTTCACTGCCAATTTCAGGATATTAATAAGAAAATAAAATGCTAATAGTTTCAGACCAAATATATGGCCTTGACAGCATTCCTTCTAAAGTAGAATGTAACTTAAAAAAGCCGGTGTCCCAGGAAACTGCCACACTGATCTGTCCTAATTAAAAAAAAGAAAAATCAACTACAATTTACTGAGTTGTCTACCACGTGCTTAACACAATTCTCACACAATCCTGTGGTGGGAAGAGCATGATGTCCCCCTTCTACAGATGGGGACACAGGGGCAGCAAGCGGTGAAGGGACATGCCCGGAATGACACAGCAGAAGCGGAAGTACCAAGATTTGAACCCAGGCTCTCTGGCTCCAAAACCCACCACTAGTCTTTACATTACCATCTTTGATGTCAGTGCACCTGGGGCTGGCCACCTAGCTACACAACCTTCAACAAATTTCTTCACCCCCCTCTCTAAGGCCCTGCCACCTCATCCGTAAAATGGACATAATAATAGCAACCTCTTCATATGGTTATTTGTGAAGATTAAATTAATTGCTGGATGAAAGCATCTAGCAAAGTGCCTGGCACAGAGAAAGTGGGTAATGCATGTTAGCGATCATATAAGCTATAACTCCTTGTTGGGCTCCTCCTCTGTCTACCAAGATGTTCACACTGAGCCTGGGATGTATACTCCCCAAAAGCAAAGAAAAAGCCAGGCTCATGGATGCTGGGCGAGCAATGGACTCGAGTGAAAAAGAGATGGTGCGGCAAATCCTTCATTACCATCTCTCAGCCACGCGGCAGCCTCCTTGTCTACTGTACGGACCAATAACCTTGTCTTCAGGCCAGGCTCTCCAGCTAAGTTAATTAAGTTTCTAATTACATTCTAGCCGATCGTCTTGCTGGGATGACACAACTCCAGTGACTCACAATGAAGCTGCATATCCTAAAGGGTTCTGGGCTTTTCAGAAGGGTTGAATGCCCACTAACATGGAATAACTTTTAAAGAACTTCATAAAAAAAAATTCACAAGAATTGCTAAATCCAAAAGATTCTGGATGCTGACCCTATGCCACAAAGCTGAGCAAATTGGACTCAAACACACCGTAACCGCAAGTTTGGTGAACTGGGAAGTGTTTGCTGGAATTTGGGTCTGCATCAGCCTGAGGTCATCCCCAGTGTTCTGTAATTCTCTCCAACACACTCTCCCAGCATCTCCTGGCTAGACCAAAACCTGCCCATTTTTACGTTCATTAAGCTGTTTATACCCATTAAGCACACTAACACTTATCCTATTATGTTGTTAAACACTTTCTAACAAAGAAGAGAAACAGATATTTCCAAAAAAGATAATAGACAAGGTATTCTAAAAAACCTCAACTTCTTTAACAGAACTACTGGTCTCTCCTTCTCTATGTACTAACTTGTCTTTACTGTCCATGATGAATATAGCACAACACGTACGTCTGTGTAGGCAAGAACTACCCACAGCTGTGCGAATACAGCACTGGGCGACATGCTTTAAAAAACAAAGGATTCCTGCTATGAACCAGCCATCTTGTAGGTATTTCCTATTTATTGATTGTATTTTCTTTTGTGAACAAACCCATCAAAGACTCTAATCTGCCTTCTTTTTTTTTTGAGAGAGAGAGAGTGAGTGAAAGAGTGGGGGAGGGGCAGAGAGGGAGACTCTTAAGCAGACTCCGTGCTCAGCGGGATCTCACAACCCTGAGGTCATGACCCTGAGATCCTGACCTGAGCAGAAATCGAGAGGAGGATGCTTAACCAACTGAGCCACCCAGGCACCCCTCTAATCTGCCTATTAATCAGGGTGTCTCTTGGACTAATACAACTTTATATTGCTAGCACCTACCATAGCACCAGAAACAGATTTTCCTATCCCTTTATTTTTCGAGAGGTTGGTCAAAGGCATTGCTATGGATGCACTGGAAGCCTACAAAGCTTCCTTTGTCCCTGGGCCAAACTGTCATCTGCCAGGGAAAGTAATCATGGGCCTCTTGCTACTAGAATTCAAGCCAACTGTGTCCTAAAGACTCCAGCTGATTCCTACAACCCAGACTTAAGACAGAAAAATGTGTT